ATAGCAAATTAGAGAGAAATCGGAGATACTTATCAAGCTACTCACCAGAAGAAAGATTGGAATCATCACTCAAAAGTATCTCTCAATTTGACAGGTAAAAATATCATTTCCTAATTATACAGTGGGTTGAGTAATGTGGAAACGTAAAGAAAGGCATACTTTAAATTTCTGAATTTTGGGCTGGGGAGTAGCTCAATAGACTAAGCACTTGCCTGGCAAGCACAAGATCCTGAGTTCAATCCCCGGTACCGCAAAAAAAAAAAATAAATAAATAAATAAAAATTTTGAATTTTAGTGGCTAAATGTCTGCTTGTTGCAACAGATATGTTCTAGCACAAAAGTATTAGTGTGACAGAGGTAATATGTATATGCTCATCGTTCTTGCAGCTTATGTCTTCTAGCTGTCATCCTGTTTCCAGAGGTGTCCCATTAAGTTGTTTCATCTAAATCTGCTTTCTGTGGCAGAGTCCCACATACTTGTTAGTCTTTCCTACTAGGTCTACTCCACAGTCAGAATATATTGACTCAGTCTCCTGTTCCTTGTGGACTTTCCAACCTGGTAGGAAGCCAATATAACAACAAATAATTCATCATTGATAAGATACGATTTGTGGTAGGAAATTTCTGTGTTTTCCTTCTGTCTTCTTCCTAAAAGAGTCCTCAGAGTCTTCAGCAGACAAATGATAGATACGTCCTTGGGCAGCTGAACTTTGCTGCACTCTCGAATTGAACCGTAGGCCTGGATGCCTGTTCTACCTGTGGATGTGATACTAATCTGCCTATATTTAGAATGCATGACGTATTCACTGCTACTTCAAAGGCTGGTAGGATAGGTCTGTCTGTCCTAGCAGAAGAACCAGGGAAATTTAAACAGTACTATGGATTTTTTAAAACCGCAAGGCATTTTTCATTTCATTTCGTTAAGTTATAAATCAAAACTTAATTTTAGTTTGAATTTCTCAGTGTTTTGTTTTCTTCTGTTTTTGTGGTACCAGGGATCAAACCCAGTGCCTCGTGCATGCCAGGCAAACAGTCTATTGCCGAGTTACATCCTTACCTTGGTTCTTTTTTTTTTTTTTTTTTTTTTTTTTTTTTTTTTTCCTTACCTCTGTTCTAGGAATTTTGTAGTTTTGGGTCATAAGTGTTTAAGTTTTTTTTTTGTGTGGAACCGGGGACTGAACTCAGATCCTTGCGTTTGCCAGTCAGGCACTTATCCTACTGAGCCATCTCCCCGGCCCCTATGTTTAAGTTTTTAATTCATTTTGAGTTAAATTTTTTTCCCCCATTTTACGTATTTGGTACAGAGTCTCACTGCACAGATCCGACTCATAGTGATCTTCCTGTTTTCACCTTCCCCAGTGCTGGGATTATAGGCGTGTACCACCATGCCCAGACTCAGGGCGTCCTGGGGGCGGGGCTGGTATGTCACTTGGGACTGGGAATTGAACCCTGGTCCCTGCGCTTGCAGGCGCTTTAATCTGCTGAGCTATTTGGCCTGCCCAGATCTTTCTTGATTCTCAGAACTCGGTTCTTTTCACTGCTCAGTAGGTGTCTCAGTTGCAGGCCTCGGAGAGGCTTTGATTTGTTGCCAGCTTTTACTCTGCCATCTTTCTTCCTCCTCTCTTACTGTTCTTATAGTGCCAATAATCCCATTAAATGTAAGGTCTGTCTGTCTCTGTCTCTTGTGTGTGTGTGTGTCTCTGTCTCTCTCTTGTCTCTTTCTCCCTCTCTCCGTCTCTGTCTCTGTCTCTCTCTCTCTCTCTCTCTCTCTCTCTCTCTCTCTCCCCCCCCCATCCCTGGCTTCTTATTTTGTATGTTGGAGACAGGGTTAAGTTACCCAGGAGGAACTATAACTTGAGATTCCCCCTGCCTTTGTTTTCTGGGATGAAATCAGCAAAATGGCTGTTATAATCTGAATGTTTCTGTCATTCAAAAATTCATATATTGAAGCCTCGTCTCTGATGTGAGCACACACATATGTGCATGTATATTTGTGAATGTGTGTATGTGTGTTGCTGGAGATTTAACCCAAGGCTTACTCAAGCTAAACACATGGCTTGAATATCACCAAGTGAATTTCTAGTGTTCTCATCATAAAAATATTAAATAATTTGAAAATAATATTGCTTAAGACATGTTCTAAATTCAAAGATTGATTTTTAAAAAACTACCCTTTTTGATTAATAGGAACTTTACAGTAGAGAGAAGAAATGACTTCTTTTATGAAAAGCTGTCGCAAGAGAACGAAGCAGTGAATATGGATCAAGGAGTAAGTGCCAGCACTGTTAACTTCAAGCAGATGTTGAACTCAGATGGATAAATGGCTAGATGTGGCTGCTATATAAAACTAGTACTTACTCCTGCCAGCAATTGGTACTTTTTCCAATAATACTGTAGCTAACATAAGTGCAAAGGTTGGCTTTCCTTTTCCCAATTATTTTACTATATATGACCTTGAGCAAGTCACTTTCCTTTCTTTCAGTCTTACTATTCTTCATCTCTAAAATGAAGGGTTTGGAATGAAGGAGAGCCATGAAATGTCAGAGCGATATAAGCACTGTGATGCAGTGGTTAGTGACTCGGGCTTTGTCCATGCTTGGAAAGAGTCCTATTTCTGCCATTTAATACCACAGTTCATCAATTTTAACACACACTTGGTTTTTTTCAAGTTCCACTTTTTCTGAGATCAGGAAGTGTCTTAGATTGAATGTCATATCACAGTTAATGTGACATTGTTTTACGTATTTTCAATGCTAATGTGTTTATTGTAGAATCACAGTGTTTTAGATTTGATGAAACGTGGCTGAGGAACCTTTGGCAAGACTTGAAAATTAGATGTGATGATTTTTAATTTTATTTATTTATGTGTGTGTGTGTGTGTGTGTGTGTGGCCAGCTCAGCCCACCAGGGGGCGGGGCTGGCTGGCATGTGGTGCTGGGGGATTGAACCGTGGTCCCTTTGCTTTGCTAAGCTTGTTCTAAGTAGGTGCTTTAGACCACTGAGCCATCTCACCAGCCCCTAGATGTGATGATTAATTGAAATATACATCTGAGGACAAAGACTGGATTATAGTAAACATTACATAAGTTGAACTTATTTCATGACTGTGATATATCAAATTCTTTATTATAATCACATTTTTTTTGTACCAAGGATCAAACTCAGGACCTTACGCTTGCCAGGCAAGAGCGTAAGCCACTGAGCTAATTCCCCTGCCTCACATTTTCTTATTGATGTGATTACTTAAATGCATACTTTTTTAAATGATATGAACTTTTTTTGAAGTTCATATTTTCAACACACATACACATATACAACTATAATGTGTTCATTCATTGTTCAAGTGATCCACTTTGCAGTGAGAAATTTCTAAGGGAATATGGTGGCAATTCTGAGTACTGTTTAGTTGGAAACAAATTTTTTTTTTCTTTTTTTGGCAGAACCGGGGATTGAACTCAGGCCCTTGTGCTTGCCGGGGAAGCACTTATTCCACTGAGCCATCTCCCCGGCTCCATGGAAACACAATTTCTAATAAGCTAGTTAGATGTTTCTATTTGCCCATTCATTTCTTAAATCTCCTTTTAGCCCTACAGTTCTTCTGATTTTGTCATCAAAAGACTTTTAGGGCCCGGGCTTAGTAGAATAAGCGTTTACCTGGCAAGCGCAAGGGCCTGAGTTCAATCCTCGGTTCTGAAAAAAAAAAAAAAAAATTTTATTCCCTGTCAAATTCAGTGGTCAGTTATTAATTCTGTCCTTCCTTTTTCTATCAGAAATGTGTTATGTACTCATGAAAGTCTTTACTCCCAAGAATTAATAAATAAACAATAAAACAACATAAAAGCTCATGTATAGAGGGTCTGGGGATGTGATTCGGTGGTAGACCACTTGCCTAGGCCTGGGTTTCATCCTCAGCATGAGGGGGGAAAAAAACTGCCCTGAGATAGAAGTATGTCCAAAGTACTAGGGCTACATAGGAGCAGGGATCCTGAACCACTTTGGGAGGTCGGGAAGAATTTCTTAGGGAATATACTATTTGAGCTGAGTCCTGCAAGCTGAATAGAGTACACAAAGCAGGAAAGGTGGAAAAGGCACTCTAGTCATAGGAAATATTATCTGTACAGGTGCAGTAGTGGAAGCTAGCCTGGCATATGTGGTAAGCTGCAGTTGCCCGAGTTTGTCCACATGGCAGAATGTGCATTGCAGAGTCCTAGGGGTTAGGAAGTGATGCCTCATCGGCCAGTGAAGGAAGCTTTGACTTTTTTTTTTTTTGGAGGGGGGAGCTTTGCTTTTAAATATTGCATATTGGTATACAAAGTAGGGTTGTATTAGAATTAGGGAGCCTTCCACTTTAAATCGTAATTTGAAAAATCCCTAAGCTCAAGTGTAAAATGTATGGGCAGAACTTTTGAGAGGTGCGAGTAGAGTGGTGGAGAGTTAGGAGCTATATCATGGGGTGTATTTGTGTCATGCTAGAGTACAAATTCCATATACTGAGGGCAATATAGAACTATTGAAATTAAGGGGGGGCCTGCCCCTTAGCTCAGTTCTTCAAGTGGCTGCTTCAACAAAGCAGTCAGGCTCAGGTTGCTGTGGTTCGATCCCCACAACTCAAGCCAGCCAAACCTGCCCTGAAGGCATTCGGAGCAAAAAAAAAAAAAAAAAGAAATTAAAGAGGGAAATGACATTAGCTAGTTTATATTAGAAGCAGTCACGTTGGCTATGGTCATTGGAAGAGTGCTTGCCTAGCTTGCCCTTAGTTCTGTCCTCGGCACTGCAAATCAATAATATTTAAAAAAAAGAAAGAATATGTACCATTAGCCTAAATCCCCTTTTCCCAATAGTTTCCTACTCTAGTTTCTGGCCTTATTTCCTATTTCCGTGGCTCCTGTTCTCATTTCTCTTACTCTTCCTTGTATACTCTGAATTTCATCTCCTTGATAGTTTGCCACAGTTGCCACTGATTCCCAAATAAGTGGTATTTTTAGTCTAACCACAGTCTCCTCTTTAGTTCTTGGTAAAGACTATTAACTTTGCTACCTGAATAATATGGGTACAGCACGCTGTGTTTAACTTATAGAGGCATTGCCATGGGTCACACATCCACACTGAATTTAAAGCTGCTTTGACTAACATGTTTACTTGGAAATAATGTGTGTCCAACTTAAATGAGAACTTTCCAACAAGAGAATGTTTGATCTATGAACATTGTAAATCTCTTGACTCTACAGGCTTCTTTGTTGCCATCATATTACATGTAGGGTAAATGTAGGCACTCAAGCATGCTAGACAAGCACTATCACTGTCATACTTTGGTTTTTTTTGTTTGTTTGTTTGTTTGTTTGTTTGGGTTTTTTTGGTATGTTGAGACAGGGTCTTACTAAATTTCCCAGGCTAGTATCAAACTTTTGATCCTCCTGTCTCAGCTTCCCAATGCCTGGCATCTGTAGGGTTGTTAGTACCAAATCTACTTGGATAACTATATAACTATGGCTAGAACTTTATATAAAAATAGCTGTACTATTCAAAATACTAGCTACATGCAACCGAATATAGTGTGAGCAGTGCAGTTATGGAGCAATATGGACCAGTTAACACTTGAAGTGCTTTAATTATGTTTGGTCCATTTCCTTGGCCACATATAGATATAACCTGTGTTGTCACAAGGTAATTAGAGGAGTAACAAATTAAAGTTAATTACTGAAAAAAATCTCACTTTCACTTGAAATGTTTGATTGGTGTAGAAGTGACATTTTCTAAAACTCAATTTTTGGAATAATAGTTTTCCACCTCGGTTAGCTATCTTGAATATAGTCAGCGTCTGTTTTATTATAAATTAAGGTTTTGAAGCTACCCTTTGTGGATTTTTGTCTACAATTATGATCTTTTGCCTATACCTGTATAATCAGTGTTTGGATCCAGGCCACATCAAGATCCTACAGATTTCCGAGTCACTACTAGCTGTAAAAATTTAAGGAAATCATTTGACTTGTCTGAATTATAGTTTACTTATACTTTATGAGAGGGTATTGGGCTTCTTGATCTCTTAAGTGTTTGCTGGCTTTGTATTCTTGAATCTGTAATATAGGGGAAAAAATCAGAAATTGAGCCTTAGAATTAAGCAAAAAGAATATTGTCACCGAAAAATGTAGTCAATTTTAAATATAGCCAATAAGTACTTTGTGCTTATTAAAGATTTTTGCATGATTTGTCTCTACTTTTTTTCATTTAGGTAACACCAGAAAATGAGCAAAACTTCCATGAAGCTAAAAATTCTGTCAGGTAATTTCTTTTTTTTTTT